TTCAGTAACATAATTGTTCACTAATAATGTGGACCTTACCAGTTGAAATAAACAGGAATCAAATTGACTATACCTGCGGAAAGATGATGGAGAAGCTCATTATCAGAACAAGGCTAGGGGCCAATTATGGAACAGCCCATCAATTGCTCGTATGCAAGTTCAAGATGAAGCTGAAGAAAATTTAAAAGAGCCAACAGCCTTCAATATATCCAACCTGAATTGAGAAGCCATCTCACATAGATTGGACACATGGAACACTAACAACTAGACAATAACTCAGAACATCGTACATGAAGAAAGCAAAATGGCATTAAAAACACAGGAAAGAAAAGACCAAAATAGATGTCAGAAGAGACCCAGAGACGTGTTCTTTGTGTGTAGAGTAGCTAAAGTGAATGGGAGAAATGATAAAGTAAAAGAAACAAGATTTTAAAAATAAATAAATAAAAGAGTTGTATACACATCAAAAAAAAAAGGAGATTTCAAAGGATGGCTTGAGAAGACAAAAAGGCAAGTATGATTATAATGAAACTTCCAAAGACCTGGAGTTTAAAAAGGAACGGCACACAGCATTTCTCAAGCAGAAAGAACTGAAAAGGAATTTAAGCCTCAAACTTCAGTATTCAAGGATTCTAAGGGCAAAGTGCTGAATGCTATAGGAGGCTTCAAAAGAAGATGGAAGTAATACACAGAGCCATTGTACCAAAAGGGGAGTGGGCTGCAAATTGGTTGATATCCAACCATTTCAGAAGGTTGGATATGATCAAGAGCTAATGGTATTGAAGGAAGACGTCTATACGGTGCTGATGTAAGCCTCCAGGAACTGACAATACCAGCTGAGATGTTTCAGCAAATGGGTACAGCACTGGTAGCTCTCACTTGCCTACGCCAGGAAATTTAGAAGAATGCTACTTGGCCAACTGGCTGGAAGAGATATCTGTGCACTCCAAAGAAAGTGGACCCAACAGAATGCAGAAGTTATTGAACAATATGAACAATCCTACACAAGTAAAATTTTGCCAAAGATAAAAGTGACTGTAGCAGTACATCAACATAGAATAAAAAAAAACAAAGCCGGTTCTGAAGACTACATGGAACTAAGGGTACCATTGCTGATGTCAGATAGATCTTGGCTGAAAGCAGAGAATACCGGAAAGATATGGTTTATTGACAGAAAAGCATTCAACTCTCTGTGGATCATAATAAACCATGAATGACATTGAGCAGGATGGGAATTCCAGTACCTGTCATTGTGCTCATGCTGAACCTATACACAGACCAAGATGCTGTTGTTGGAACAGAACATGGAAATAATATGTGGCTTACAGTCAGGAAAAGTGTGTGTCATGGTTGTAGCTTTTCACTCTTTTTATTCACTTTGTATGCTGAGCATATAGTCCAAGAAGCTGAACTATGTTTAGAAGACTGGCATCAGGATTGGAGGGAAACTGATTTACAACCTCAGATTTCAGGTGACACAATCTTGCTTGCTGAAAACAAGGAGACCTCGAAACACTTAACAGATGAAGATCAACTATTACAGGCTTCCATGTGGATTGTACCTGGACATAAACGGAAATGGGGGTTGGCTCACAACTCTGCCAATAAGCAACATAACGATAAGCAAAAAGGATTATTGATCTCAAGGCTTTCATTTTACTTGGATCTACATTCAGTGCTCCTGAAACCCACAGTCAAGAAATCCAAATGACATATTGCATTGAGCAAATGTGATGCAAAATATCTCTTTAAACTGTTAAAAAAGCAAAGATACTACCTGGAGGACTAAGACACACCTGACCCAAGGTATGGTATTTTTAGCATGCTCCGTATGTATGCAAAAGCTAGACAATGAATAAGGAAGACCAAAGAAGAATTGATGCCTTTGAATTGTGGTGTTGGCAAAGATATTAAATGTATCATGGACTGCCAGAAGAACAAATAAATGTCTTTTGGAAGAAGTACGGCTGGAATGTTTATTAGAAGTGAGGTGATGAGTCTTTGTTCCGTGTAATTTGGACTTGCTACCAGGAGGGATTAGTCCCTAAAAAAGGAGGACCGAAGGTCTGTGATAAAGAGGAGGAATGTCAACGAGATGAATTGACAGAGTGGTTACAATGACAGGCTTAGCGTAGAGTGACTGTGAGCATGAAATAGGGCTGAGTAGTTTTCGTTGTACTATATCGGGGTCACTAGGAGTTGGAACCCACTTTCTATACCCTTACATTTGTTCCCAGCATTGGCCTTGGCTATTCTGGGTGACTTTAAAGATAAAACACTCTATTTCAGACTTCTTAGAAGTTAGTCTTGCAAGATATAAGCAGCCATAATTAAGTGCTAAACTTTATGATTCTGACTGAATTTATAATGGGACATTAGAAACGTGAGAGCTCCAAGTGTACTGAAGAAGCAGGCGGTGACTTCTTGATGGAAAGTTGGGTTCTGCCGGCAGAACCCATGTGGACAGGATGGCACAGCAGTGAGCTGGGTTTGGGTGAAGGAACCATGGCAAAGCACTGAAGAATGGGTAAGCTGGACCCCACCCTCACTGTGAAGGGCCTTGAGAAGGAGGCAGAGGCATTTTCTGTCATTATTGAAAAGAGCTGGTACTTGCTGTGCCTTCAGATAACTGGCACTGTGCTACGTGTGTTACATACATTTTAGATGTGTTCAGGGCCAATGAGGGAGTTAGGACTTAAGCCAGGGTCTGTCAGATTGCGATGTTCTTTGCTCTTTCTGTGTAATACTGTACAAGATGTAGGTTGGAAGTTTCTCTGTTGTTGAGCAGGTGATGATAAGTGTGATTTGGTATTGTTCTCTGGAATGGCACAACTTAATATAGTAGCCACGTGTGATTATTTTAAATTTAAATTGATATTGAAGAAACATTAAAATTCAGTTCCTCAGTTTCACTAGCCGTATTTTGTATACGTAATAGCCACATACCACAGAAAATTTTACTGGACAATACTTTTTTTAGAACACTTTCTCAGCTAGTCATATATATCAGATTTATCTAAGGCTCTTTGGGGTAGGGACAAAGCCCAGCCATTTATAAAGCTTCAGAAAATTCTGATCTGCTGCCCTGGTTGATAGCCCTGTTCTGGAAGCTCCAAAGTAGCCAAGGCAGTGACTTCCCCTCATGCTTGAGGGGAGATGTGAACTGAGATTCTTAAAGCAGGTTAGTTAGTGTCTCTGTTCAGCAAATAGAGTCTCTTCACCTGATGGTCACATAGACAACAGTTGCAGTCTGGGAGAAGGTGAGGACTGTAGAGTGATAGGTGGCAAGATATGACCATGTAAACCCCTGTCTTTATAGAAGAGAATGAGGATATTTTGGGTCTACTGCCAGGAAGGGCACATGCTATTTGTTATTTGTCCAGTTAGAACCAAGGATAGCAAGACTTTGTCACATGCATTGCCCCATAACAAGATGGGTTGACAGTGGCAGCAACTTCGTGAAGATGATGTGGGACTAGACAGTGATAGGGTTGCTACGAGCCAAAACCAGTTTGAGGGCACCTGCTAACAACTGTGCAGTTCCAAGAGGGCAAACCACTGCCATTTGGTCAGTCCTGACACAGAACGACCCTGTAAGACCAGGTAGAACCATCCCTGTGGGTTTCAGAGAAGAACTCTTTATGGAAGTAGAAAGCCTTATCGTTCTCCCACCAAGTATGTGGGGTGGGTTTGAACTGTTGACCTTGTGGTTAGCAGCCCAATGCGTAATTGGTATGCAACTGTGCCAAAAAGTGAGGTAGTTGAGCTTATTGGCCCACAAAGAGTTGGAACAAAAGCTGTTTTTGTAGCTAAATAATTTGAAATTTAACTTCGAGCTTTTTTTTACTGGTGCTATGCTGTGTACCTTTATTTATTCTTTAAGAGATAAACATTCTATTCTATATCCTCAAATTCTTGAGTATTCAGTGAGATGAACTTTTTAATTGAGATGCACAGGACTCTAAATACCATTATAGCTTCCTCAGCAACTTGTAATTTAGCCACAGTGCTCAACTGGAAGGAAGAATAAATTTAACTGCTTGTGCAATAGTGCAAACAGGCTACAGATGAAGAAGGAAAAGTTTCCATTACAGTGAACCCTCGTTTATCGCGGTTAATCGGTTCTAGACCCTACCGTAATAAATGAAATTCCGCAAAGTAGGATTCCTTATTTGTAAATCAAATATTTTCGTAGTTAGAGCATAGAGGACATGAAAAAACACCCTTTAGTCACCATTACACTCGTATTACCCAATTTATTAAACGAAAAAGGGAAAATACAGTAAAACATTTTGGACGTTACAATGATCATTTATTATTTATATTATTTATGGCATCTAGTTTACAGTATTACATATTTCACATACAGTATTATTATACATAGTTCTTACAAATACTGTAATCAATAGCCTATGAAATGACAAGGGATGTACTCTACAGGTGGGTCGCCGTCTTTTTCCTCTGAAGGAGCGGGTGTAGGCAGTGGGTGCTGTTACGCAAAAAACGCGATAGAGTGAAGCCGCGGAAGTCGAAGCGCGAAGTGGCGAGGGTTCACTGTATTTGGAGAATTGAAACATCTGGACACTGGTATATTGGAATTCCTAGCCAGAATATTAAAGCATCAATTGTGGTGCTTGCTGGGCAAGATCTTAGCTGTGTCTGGCAACACTACCCTCTCCTACCCTTGAAGGGTCTTTAATATTCTCTACCCTCAAGCTCATATATTAATTGTTCCACATGTGTCCCGTGCCTTGGATCTCAAATACCAACACACACACCTACACACAGGATGCTTTTACAAACAGGTGGTATTTTCATATGACTAAATCAAGGTGTGAGGAGGACGTAAGTGACTTCTCAAGAGTTACTGTGTTTCTGTCATTATTTTTCATAATATTTTCAAACACGCTTTCACAAGTCTGTGTTTATTATGAGTTCATATGGCCAGAGGTCATTTAAAATGCTCCGGGTTAATGAAATGTTCTTTATTTTGTAGCCATCCAGTCCAATGGATCAGATGGGCAAGATGAGACCTCAGCCATATGGTGGGACTAACCCATACTCGCAACCACAGGGACCTCCGGCAGGACCGCAGCAAGGACATGGGTATCCAGGGCAGCCATATGGGTCCCAGACCCCGCAGCGGTACCCGATGGCCATGCAGGGCCGGGCGCAGAGTACCATGGGCGGCCTCTCTTATGCACAGCAGGTCGGTGGTGACTAGGATTTACCTTAACCTTTGTTGCTATTCAGGTTTAGGATCTGGTTATGAACTACAGAATCAGAACAGATCCTCAGTTCCCAAGTCTCTCGTGAGAGTTGGCTTGGTTAGTTATTGAGTGCTCCTGACAAGGCCAAGATTGCGGGTACCATCCCTATGTGCTTCATGGAAAATTCCTTGGCTGTGGGTGGTAGTTATGAAGGGCTTCACAAAGTGTGTGGCAAAGTAGAAATGAAAGAGCATGGGTTTTTTGAAGTCCCCTCAAATGTCTTTTTTCTCCTGGCCTAACTAACCTACTTGTACCTAGTAGGGGGTGATTTCTGAGGGAAGTGGGGTGAAAAAAAAGTTCTGTTCTTAATGTCCTCAAACTCTCAGTTATTAAGATGATGAACTTTTTCATCAATGTGCACAAAGCTCTAAATTCCATGGGTACCTATCCAGTGTTACAGTCGAGAAACCCTGATACCGTGTGCCCAGGGGAATGAAAGGGGCCCTTAGGTTTCTGAAGGCCTCCAGCACATCGACTAACTGGTTCACAATGACCATTTAGAGCAAGAGACTGACAGTAGAGGAGAAAAGGTTTAAACAATAATGGTGCTAGTAATGCTACTATAATTATTAAAATACTCCTTTTGTCTAGCCATTTTATATATATACATATAAAATATATATATACATATGTATTTATGGTAAATATATATGTAACCAAACATTTGTGTGGTAAATATATATCAAACCAAACATTTGACATTTCCAAAATCTTCACAAGTGCAACCAGTGAGCCCGTGGTTATATTGCTCAGTCATCACCCTGACTCACTTCTAAATGATAATATCAACCTTAACAGAAGCTCAGTGTTCTCCTGTCCCCTCTCTCAAGCCCGCCCCTGGTAACTACCAATAAGCTTTGGTCTCCATACATTTGCCTTTTCTAGATATTTCATAAATGTGAAATCTTGTAGCAGTTGTCCTGTTGTGACTGTGGTATTTCAGTCCGTACCATATATACTCGTGTACAAGCCGGGTTTTCCAGCACATTTTTCATGCAGTTTTTGTGGTAAAATTAGGTGCCTCGGCTGATATTCGGGTCGGCTTATACTTGAGTATATACAGCATATTGTTGTTTTTTGTTGTTGTTTTTTTCATTGTCACTTGTGTTGTTTTTTTAAAACATTTTATTAGGGGCTCATACAACTGTTATCGCAATCCATACACACATCAATTGTGTAAAGCGCATTTGTACATCATTCTCAAATCATTTTCTCTCCCAGTATATTGTTTTTAAGAGTCATCCATATTGTAGCATGGACTTCACATTTTATTATCTTTTTATTGTCATTTTTTGTTTTTATTTTTAATTTTTTTTCTTCATTATTTTTGTCTTGACAGCATTTTTTTAACCATTTGTGTTGTAGTCATAACTCATACTGGAAATGATGAGCGACAATATAAACCTAACTTCTAAGACTCTAAAGCAAAGTGTATGCTGTTAAACAAAGAAAACGTGACACTATCACACAGCCCTCATGAGAAATTGGAGGAGGGACAAGGAAGCGTGTTATTTTTTTATTTTTCTATTTAGTAAATATGTCCTCAGTCCCCAAAGCAAGCAAATGGACCCTTGGATATTTTTTGAATGAGGACTCATGTGAGAACCAAGGTTGATTAGTGATTTGTGTATGGTCTAGAGTATGGAATTGTGGGGTTTCAGTTGGCTGAGGCACGCTGCTGTTGACTGGGTGGGGTTAAGACTACAGATTCCTAGTGCTCGTAAAAAATCAGTCAGGCTACGCTAAAAAGAGTGGACTTGTTGGTAAAAACAGCTACACTTAAACTCATAAATTTGCCCCAATACAGAAAAGTATAAATTTTCACTGGATGAGTGTATCCTGTGTATAAATAAGCAAACTAATAACCCAGCTTGTCCTTCCTGGCTCAGTTCAGATGGGGATGGTAGAGTTTGAATAACCGTAGGCCCTCAAGCTGTGAGGCTCGATGGACATGCTCTCAGTACCCATCCTCAGAACATAGCTTCTGATACAGAATACCTTACCTTTCATCATTCAAGAAAGCTGGTGCTCAAAAGTATCCTTTTCTTTCCTTTTCCGCAGATTCCTCCTTATGGACAGCAAGGCCCTAGCGGGTATGGCCAACAGGGCCAGACTCCGTACTACAACCAGCAAAGTCCTCACCCCCAGCAGCAGCCACCCTACTCCCAGCAACCACCCTCCCAGACCCCTCATGCTCAACCTTCATATCAGCAGCAGCAACAGTCTCAGCCACCACAGCTCTCAGCCTCGCAGCCTGCGTACTCCCAACAGCCTTCCCAGCCTCCACATCAGCAGTCTCCAACTCCATACCCTTCCCAGCAGTCCACAACACAGCAACACCCACAGAGCCAGCCCCCCTACTCGCAACCACAGGCACAGTCTCCCTACCAGCAGCAGCAACCTCAGCAGCCAGCCTCCTCGACGCTCTCCCAGCAGGCTGCGTACCCTCAGCCCCAGTCGCAGCAGTCACAGCAAACTGCCTACTCCCAGCAGCGCTTCCCTCCACCCCAGGTGAGATGGCCCGTCTCCATACGTGACTGCAGACAGCGCGGAAGTTGCTGTCATGCAAGTTGTTCTTCTAATGTGCGCTCAAAAACCAGTGAAACTGAATAAACATGTTAACTGGTTTGGTTGAACTAATAAAAAGGCATAACCTTCTTAGCTTCTTAACTTGTAGTTCTCCTTGCTGATGAAGCAATAGGAAACTTTCATAGATTTTAAAAATGAAAGATAATGGAACTAGGGCTGTATTTTTATTTTTAAACCAAAATACTAAGAACTTGAATATCCAAGAAAGTGTGATCTTTTTCCAAACAGCCATTTTGCGAGGCTTGACTTCTGTTCGTTCTAGCACTGTCTGCATAAAATCCTTGTGAGACCTTTGCTTTGGGGTTGCTAACAAGAGTCACATCACATTTTTTAGAATACCCTATGGTTGCAAGTCTCTTTCTCTTTGAGGTGATTTGAGTTTGAGAAACAGCAAACATTAATGTAGAGAGCCATGTCTGGTAAACAAGATGGTGATGAAAGCTAACAATAGCAGTTTCGGCCATATTTTAAGAGCAAAAAGAGGAGAAACTACTGCGTGATAGGGCCACTAGAGATTTTGTGCATTGGTGTCATTTTGGGAAGATTTATCCCATGATGATGCCTTTGGAAGGAAGCAGGTACACATTTTGTTGCAGAAGTTCTGGGGTGGGTTGTTTGGATTTTCAATTAACTGGCGTCGTTTCTTCATAGATGTATCTTGTGCTTAGCCAGAGTATGGCATTTGACCTCCAAGGAATAGCTAGCTCTTTGTGTGCTGATAAATATGTGACCATGCCGCCAGAAAGAGCTGCATCCGTCATTGACACAGTCTGTCTTCAGAGTCACAGCTTGGATTTGTCTGCCTTCAGATAGATGTTACTGCTCGCAATTGAGCTGTCTCTCACCTAAATTCTCCCGTGTGAGAGAGTCCCAGAGCGCATTCACCATGAAATGTGCTTCCCTGTTTTATTGATAGTAAGTCTTTACTGCTTCTCTTCTTGTTTAGGAGTTATCTCAAGATTCATTTGGGTCTCAGGCATCCTCAGCCCCCTCAATGACCTCCAGTAAGGGAGGGCAAGAAGATATGAACTTGAGCCTTCAGTCAAGACCCTCGAGCTTACCTGTGAGTATTCTTGTTGCCCTCTAAAAATGGAAGTGGGCAGAGAGGAAGCCCAAAGAAACCCAGTTTCTGATTGGGTGTTGGGATGTTATTGGGTTAAATGGACAATGAGCTTATTCTCTGAATTCTAGTTCAAACTCTGTCAAGGAAAGAAGAGCGTATTTTGTAGTTGCATCATTCACAGGTGAATCCTTCTAGAATGTTCTGGCTAACCGCCCAGGGAATAGATTTGATCTCTGTTTAAAGTTTGGTTCTTAAATTGTGGACTCTCGGGCATAGACCTAAATAAAGGTTATATAGGAAGCTCCGACTGCTCGCCCATCGAAGCTGGGACAAGTCTGCTTTTCTTGATATTACTCTGAGAGTTTGAGTTTTAGGTTTTTGCTTGGTTTTTAGTGCATTGGTAGATCTGGGGTGCATTTGGCATGCATTGTCACACTGAGTGAGCATGGGCGGAGTGAAAGTTGTTTTTCTGGTGGTTGTTTTGCGTGAATGGGTGCTTTTGTCTAGTAGAGTGCTTGGTGCCAGGTGTTCGGTTAGTGTTTATGGTATGGTCCGACCATATCCTGAGAGAGGTGAGGTAGGGTAGTATGGTGAAGAAGAGTTGGACTCCTGAGCTTGCATTTCAACTTTTCTGCTAGCTGCAGGACTTTGGACAAGTCACTGAACCTCTCTGTGTTTTGGTTTCTCACGCCTGTAAATAGGGTCTAGTAGTGCCCACATTGTGGAGTAGTTGCTAACATTAAATAGATTAATAGAGGGTGTTGACTGACACATTGTAGGCACTCCTTAAATGTCATCACCATCTCAGAGGGCACAGGGAGACAGTACTTGATACCTGAAAGACAATTAATACCAACTATTTAATCATAGGCAGGTCTGTGGTCCTTAATTTAACTTGCCACTACCTGTGGGCAAGCCACTCAGCCTCTGAAAATTAATCCGCTAGGCCTAGAAATAAAATAGGTAGCCCTGAAAACAGTAGGTAGCAAGCTCTCCTTTATAAATCGAACTTCACTTAGGAGATAGATATTAAGTCACACATTTCCAGATAAGAGTTTTGAGATTTTGACATTAGTTGGATTTGAAACCTATTTCCTTAGTTATTCTGGTTGGGAGAAAATGGTTTCTGAACTTTTAAGAAGTAGGCGGAAGGTAGGACTGCTCGCTCCCTCTTGAAGCCTCCCATGGCTTCCTTAAAGATCTCTGGACATACACTTAGTAGGGCAATATCTGTTGGGTCTCTCAGCCCCAGACTCCAGGCTTCCCAAGCCAGCATGAATCCTCACTGTCAGATGAGACTCCTGAAACTATGTTGACTGGTCTGTCTGAAAGTGAGGAATTGAGGGGAGGGAATGTCTGAATAAAGCAATCACTCTTTGTTCCCTTCACATTAATGTCCGTTGGGATCTTTTTCTGCATCTTGAACTTACTGGAATGTGCTTTTTTAACCTGATTCAGTCAGAAACGTGTAACCACTCTCTCATCAGCTGTGGTCTGCTGCTAAATCTAGGTGAGGCGCTCCTGTGGCAAGAACCTGCATCAGTAGGCTTTTTGCCATGCTGTAAATTGCTTCCTCCAAAGTTTCTCCTTGTTCCAGGTGACCTTTGCATAGAACTGTATTTGGCATTTTCAGCTCTGAGAGGGCTTGTATGCAAATATCTTGCATGTCTTCTAAAGGCTGCAGGTTGTTGGAAACCTTGTATTACTGAATCCAATAGCTTCTGTTTTGACCCACCGAAGTGAAGGTGTTGGCAGTCTCTCAGGCCTAGGACCTGAGGGTTATTCTAGGAAGTAGGAAGTCTTATCACAAGGAGCATCCTAGGTCCAGTTTCTACTGTAGATGCATCTAGACGGATCATTTGTTCTGTGGTAGGAACTACATGTAGGAGATGAGCTGACTGGGTTGTTGGCATCTCATTGGTTGAATAGTTTTCAAAACAAACAAAAAACCCAAGCCTTATTGACATAGCTCCGATATCATACAATTCAACAGTTTAAACATAATAAAAAGAGTTGTACAATCATCACCACGATCAGTTTTACAGATGGAATAGCTTCATATCCCTCTACCCCTTGCACCCAGGAACAAAGCGTAGTCAGTCTTAAACAGTTTGGTGGGCTGTTGGATTAGCCTAGCTGTGACTAGTAGTTGGATGCCCTGTGAGGGACCTTCCTTTCGTTAGCAATCCCAAGAGCTGCCGAGTTGACCCACTGAGTAAAGGTGTTTTGTCAGAGCACGTCTTCACTCAGCACAGGTATGTGAGGACACCTGTTGATGCTCAGTGTCAGTGGGAAGGCCAGACTAACTGGAGCGCTGCCTCTTCAGCCCCCCACATCCCCCACTTTACTCGCCTCGCCTGCTTGGCCCTAGAGCAGTGGTTCTCAACCTTCCTCGTGCCGTGACCCTTTCATAAAGTTCCTCATGTGGTGGTGAACCCCCCCTCCCCCAATAACATTATTTTCGTTGCTACTTCATCACTGTCATTTTGCCACTGTGATGAATCAGGCGACTCCTGTGAAAGGGTTGTTCAACCCCCACGCTGAGAACCACTGCCCTAGCAGCTTTATGAGTAGGCTTCTTGATTTAAAGATGAAGTGTGATTTCTGATCCTGATTGTTTTTAGAATCCGATGGTGGGCTGCGTGGTACTGATGCTACGGAGTCTACATGAGTTGGTAGCAAATCAACAGCAACTTTTTTTTATGTCAACTTCTCTGGTGTTACCTGGATCATTCCCCACCCTTACCCCAGCCTCAAATATTTTATTAACTTTAGAATAAAATTCAGAATCCTTATCATCGAGGCATCAGAAACAGATTGCTACTCCCTCCACGTGTCTGATTCAGAGGGCCTGGATGAGGCCTGAGAATATGCCTTTCTGACAAATGATTTGACACTGCTAGACTAGGGATGGACGCACGTTGGGAATCGCTAATCCAGCTCCATCTTGTTTACTCTCAGTGTTTTTCGGACCCCACGGCTTTTCTACTTCTAGACTTTTGCGTGCGCTCCTCCCTTTGCTTAATGCACTTGTTCCTCTTAACTTCCGTCATCTTTCTTTCCTCAGAAAACTTCTCCATCAAGTTTCAAGACTGAACTAAAGTAAATTCTATGGTGTTTTCTTGACTAAAGGCAGTTTTTCATGTAGAAAAACACATACAAATAAGTTATAAATAATAATCCATTATATGAAAATCTATCTTTAAACACTAAGTCTGTCTAACTTTGGTGAAAGCACTTTATATGGCCCTCTGGGGCCACAGAGAACAGTGTACCCTACCCTGTACTCACCCACCTGTGCTGTGTTTGATGGTTCTGCTCCCTCTTGCTGCTGACACCTGTATTTCTGTGTACTTGAGGTCTCTTTCACTCCCATAGGAGCATTGGCCTCTTTGTCTTAATATCTGTCGTGTGCTGCCCAAGACCAGTGGTTCTCAACCTTGGCTAGAATTAACCTGTGGACGGAAGGAACTCTAGCTACCTATGCCCAGAGGCTCGTTGCGTTTGCCTTTGTTTGATGTGGGGTGGGGCTTGGGTAGTGCTAGAACTGTTCCAGGTGATTGGCATTTACAGCCTGAGTAGAGAGCCACCATTCCAGACTGGGCCGGGATCCTTACAACTTGGCAGTGTAATTTAAATGACTTATTTGATACAAGTCCAGTGAGGGCTGAATTGCTCTCTTGTTCATTGCCATCATTTACCAGCTACTGTAGAATCTATTTCGACTTATGATACGCATGTGGATGCAAGAGTCAGACTGCTCCGTAGGGTTTTCACTGGATGATTTGGGGGAAGGAGATCACCAGGTTTTTTTTTTCCGAGTCCTCTGGGTAGGTTTGAGCTGCCCACCTTTTGCAGCTGAGCCCATTGGCCGTTTGCCCACCCAATGCCTGGCATGTAGTAGAGCTCCAACTTGTTGAACAAATGATCCTGTTCAGTGCCCGGTGCATTGCTCATTCAGGAAGTGTATGTCTGGCAGGGGACAGCTTGACCGTATTTCCAGATTGTCGTTCCTGCTGCTAGGGCAGTGTGTGTGCGTGTTGCAGATTGCGATGGCAAGGCCCGGATCCCATTTCAGAGGATGAATTATTCTATTTGTAGCTTCACAAGCCACTATAAAGTGGCTTTAGGAAGAAAAGCCATTAGGACTTGCCATCTAACTTGTAACATTGCTATCACTTTATCTTCTTTAAGGTTCTTCTAAGGGATGAGGAAGTGAATCTCTAGGTGTTGCATTAAGGTCTGACATTTTCTTCATTTTGGGGCAGAATCTGTAAGGAACTATTGTTTGGAGAATTGGTATCTGATTCTTGACCGTCCTGTGGAGTGCTACAGTCATTTTTGAGAGTGCCTGGACAGGAGTCTTTAAAAGTCCCTGTGTAAGTGAGTCATCCACGTGTAAGTGGTTCCTCTAGAACATTGATTGTCTTACTGAGGCACCTTTGTAAACTTACATGTTGGTTATGAAACTGTAAAAGCGGAATTTCCCATCAGTGATGGAAAATAGATCAGGGGTCATACGCCCTCGTCTGGAGAAGGTAGCCACATCAGTTCTCACACGTCAGCACAAGAATCTCCTGGAGATGAAGGAAAAACCCAGAGCACTGAGTCTGCTCCTGGGGACTCTGACTTAGTAAGTCCATCTTGGAGCCCCCAATTAACATTCCTAGCAGCCGCGCCTCAGACCACACTCGGAAAAGCACCAAGCTAGGTAGTCTTGAAAAGGAAGGAGAAAGCTTTGTATGTTTTGTTTACCAAAACTAGGAAATCCAATAGTGGTTATTTATACTATAGTTTGACTCTTGAGCTGAAGGGAAGGTGATGGGTTGAAAAGGTAGAAAGAGAGTGAGTTTATTCCTGGGTTGGGGCAGCCTTTACACGGCCGAGACCACCGTGGGAGCTCTGCTTTGCTCTGCTCCGAAGTGTTCAGCACTGTATCTTTTCCACCACCAGGCCACACCTATTTGGTCACGAAAGCCTAGTCCACCTCAGAAGTGGTG